GTATTGCTTATACAAGTTTATATTTCAAACTCTATCCCTTATGATTTGATATATCAATTCCTACATAACTTAATGTGGTTATTGTTTAATATCGTCAACCAAAATTAGTTATGCGGGGGTCATTTTATTTCCTTCATGGTCAACCAAATGCTGCATAAGTTATCGGGGATTATTTTTCTAATCTTCCCACCAAACACAATTATTTTATACGGAATTTTATGTTGGCACTGTTTTTCATAATCCCTCCAACCAAATGGCGCGTTATTAGTTATTTATTTCGTTTTCCAGATGAACCAAGGAATGGGAAAGGTCATGAGTGTGGACCAGGAAATGCAAATCTCAGGGAAGCGGGCAGTAGTAACTTTGGGAAAGAGCATGTTTTCAAGGAAGAAACAGCTTATCAAGCTATGGCAAGGTTTTTCTGTCAATCTGGTATATCTCCAAACAATAGAAAACGTGTACTTCAAAAACTTAATTGCTTATCTTAATCCACAAACTCGTTTGTTTTCATCTGCCATTCTCTCACGGTATTGCTTGAAATTGTATGAGGAAGAGAAAGCGAGAGTTAAAGAAAATTTGAGAAGCTTGAATGGACGGGTTAGCCTCTCAGTTGAGAGGTTAACGTATAACAAGTTCCATGACTTTGGCTACTGGCATTCCTCGGATTTTGAGGAAAATTGTTTTGACTTCATTTGTTTAAGAGTTCATTTCATTGATGAAGACTGGAAGCTAAGGAGTTGGGTTATTAACGTTAGATCTTTTGGTGCGTATGACGATTACATTGGCGAGACAATTAAGTGTCTTTCGGATTTTGGTATTGAAGATAAAGTATCTGCTGTCACTGTGCATAGCTATCTGGACTTTGATGAGATTATTGAGGTCATTAAAAGTAAACTTCTTGAGAAGAAAAGACTCCAATTAGATGGACAATTGTTTCGCGTATCTTGTTGTGCAGACATTTTTAGTTCAATGGTGAAAAAAGCATTTCGGATGATAGAGGATTTAATCAGTGACATTCGACTCATAGTATTTTGGGGCAAATCACTACCAGTTTGGAATGTGACATTTCATAAATTAAAGGAAGCTTTGGAGTTAGAGGCTAAAGGAGAATACTTGAAAGATGATTATAAGGATTATGATATACCTTCGCCCCAAGAGTGGGAGAAAGTTAGGGGAGTATGTAAACTTGTAGGACATGTCTATACTGCAGCAGAAGTGCTATTTATGTCAAAACGTCCCACTGCAGGTCTCTACTTCCACAATCTCAATAAGCTTCGATTTAATCTGATGAAAGAGTTTGTGAGTTCAGATGAATTTGTCAGAAATTTAGCCAATATTATGCTGAAAAAGTTTGACAAGTATTGGAAGAATATATATTTGGTGTTGGCTCTAGCTACTATTATGGATCCACGCTACAAAGTGAAGTACTTAGAGTTCTGTTTCTTGAAGTATGAAGATAACGATCATTTACCGCTCGCATCTATCTTGGAGGCAATCCGAAGCCTTCTCGATGACTATGTGGTGCACAGGTCCACAATGGAGTATCCTATGAGCGATGACGATTCTGATACGGGTGAATATCTTCTTGAACCAACGAAATTGTTGATGATCCTAGTTTTGGATTTGACTGTTCAGAAGAGTTTAGCAAATTCATCGAAACAACTAGTCAGCCACCAAAGTCAGAAATTGACTGCTATCTAGAAGAACCTATTGTGCCTTGGACTAAGAACTTTGATGAGTTGAGTTGGTGGAAAGCTGCAAGTCCTAAATATCCTGCCCTATCAAATTTAGCTCGTGATCTTTTGTCAATTCAATTGTCTCTTGTTACAGGCTATGATGATTATTTTATGGATGCGCGTGAACCTGATAGCCACTTGACTTCCTTGGAGTCAGATTTAGTGAATGCCTTGATGTCTACCAAAAGCTGGTTTGATAAACAGCGTCGTAATGCGGTAATCACTGATTCTTCTGCTCTCATCCATTCATATCTTTCATTATTTAGTTCTTGCTGATTAAATGCTAGAAGTCGAGACAGATGACTTAATACAGATATATCAAACCAATTCTCTTTTCTGCTACACGTAGTCTTCTAGCTCACTTTTAAAATGTGGGGTTTCTTCTTTAAGCTGTTGTGCTGGTGAGCAGATTGAGATTTGAACTTTGTGCAGTTACTACGAGCAGGGTCATTATGGTACATATCATGTGTTATTTATAAAAGAAAAAGGAGGAAGCCATTTCTTAAATTGCAACCAAGCAATAGGCGGAAGATAAAATGTTGAATTGGCTCAGCACTTTTGGTACACATATTAATGAGCCAACTCGATCCTAGTCGCTAACAGGAAAAGGGGGCTGATGATCCATGTGAAGCTCTTTGAATGCCTATCTCTCTCTTACTTCAGAATTGACTGATGATGTTCAGTCTTGTTATTGAACTATAAAAGAACCTTGTCGTTGTGAACTCAGATCTCATATGTTTCTCTTTCGACCCAAAAAGTGAAAACAGATTTTGATAACCACGCCCAATGAGCTTCAGACCTGCTTGTGGTTCAGTGGTCCTCAATGCCTCGTGGGGAAAATTAACTCCAAAGCAAACTTGATTAGCAAAAGACAAGAAATATTACTGGGTGAGGGTCTTGACGAGCCAGAGGAACCGAACCCGATGCTGAAATCAATTATGTTTCTGGGTCCTCTATATGGTTTTTGAAGCTATAGAGTGGTTGCTTTTGGTTTGTCACTTCTGACAATTTTATATAGCTGGATTTATGGGTTACCCTTTAACAGAGGCAATGAGTGTATAGGTACTCATTCCTTCAACTCGTGATAGTTGATGTTGATGAGACTTGTTATGGCATGAAAACAGTATTTTCAGGCTTATAGTTCAGCACTAAGATAGCATGAAACATCTTTTCATTGGATACAGAATCTAGTCAAAACAGTCTTGAGATTCACTGTCAAAGCCAATAGCTATCTACTCCAGAAAATCTGTCACAACAACAATACATACAAAGACGCGGGCTAACTTCTGCTTATTAGGCAACTGAAGTGGGTGAAAGGAGCTCTTAGGCTAGAGGCCGGGACTATCCAATAAGGTATACAGCGTGGCCTTAGCCTTGAACATTAACATTGAACTGAACATGCCATCAGGTAAGAGTAGGCAAGGAGACAATAATTTCATTGGCTAAAATAGAAACTTAAAATTGAAAAGCTCTTCAATAGTTGCTTGTTAGGTTAATCTGACTATCAAGTGACACCAACAGTTGAAATAGCATTTTGGGTGTTAAGAGTCTAAGTGTCAAACCTGGGTAATGGCCCTTCTGCCTTGCTGCTTCACATCAAAGGCAGAAGTTGATCGCATATCACAGGGGTCGCCTGTCAATGGATGCTCCTACTTCTTGATTATTGGTTATTAACATCTTATTCACACTTCTTCAGTCGATACAACATTATCCTTAGATGGTATAGCTCAGAAAAAAAATGAAGATGTGGATTTAATTCGGCAATGACAAACTTTATTTGCAAATGACCAGAATGGTTTGAGCAGAGACTTGTGCGATTTTGTGCTTGCTTTTATGGAGTTTCACTAGGATCTGTCTGACTGTTAAATTTCTTATATGTATATTTCCATGCTGAAGGAATGAAAGGTTCACTTTTCTGCTGATATTTGGTACCTTTTGTTCTCCAACTCAAAACTCTCAATGTTTAACATCCAAAATTAAAGCACAGCTAAAAACTCTCTTCCTTTTGCGGTGGGAAAGAAGTCATGTTGCTCAAAACTTGGTCGAAACATCACCAGCATTATGTAGTCAAAGCTAGACATCTATTTCAATTATCATAGCATCGTTCTTCTAGTTGTTGCATTATCTTCTGGTTGATGATTCTCTAGTCTAGACCATAACTCAAAGTCTGGCATTTGATGTATTGGAATATTTAACTCAAAGCCTTTCCGTGTTTGCACCATTCTTATTTAGATGTTCCATTGAGGTCTTTGCTAACATCTCTTTTCTGTTCTCTGTAATTTAACTCTCTTGTATGTTGTACTGACTCAACTTTTGTTTTCATGCAGATGAAAGCTTAGGGCTCCACAGTGCAGAATAATTGATTTGAGAGGAACTTTTCCTTTTTGATGGAAGATTGAGATTCCAAGAAAGCCTTTATTAGGATAACTTCCTATCTGAAATAGCCAGAAACGTTTTTGCGGATAATGGGATATAGTAGAAATCTACCTAGTCCATTGTGACCATCCTGCTAGGCCCTAGGTGGAATGCTAGCTACTACTCATAGTATATTGTTGCAGCTACTTCTTTTTTCCGTCTTCTTCACCCCAAATGTTTAATAAAATAGCCCAGGGAATCTTTATTTCATCAGATGTTGAGGGAAAGCACTCAATGTGGAGAAAATCCTTAAAAGTATTCAGCAGAAGAGATTCTGAAGGATGAATGTGGAATTATCCTAGGATAAGAAATTGAAGGAAAAGAGCAATACTTCCAATAGCAAACGGATCCTATGGTTTGATATCTGATTTAAGTTAGGGTCTATTAAAAACTCAAGTTGGATCACGTGACTGAAGCCGCTATCACTCACTGCTGTAGGCAAAGAAACATCTCGAAAATACCACGTCTTTTAATTTTGTTAGGCAAAAGTGATTGTGGTATTAATTAGATTGTTAGAAGATTTACCTGTGCTGTTCCTGCAGCTGCTACATACTGGAAAAGCATCGAATCAGTCTAGTTTGCGGGCAACATAATATATGGAGTCATTTTATTGCAGTAATAAGATAATAAAGGTGTATCATGCAGGAATTGTAATACAGTAAATGATAAATATCAAATTATTATATTTATCATTTAAAACACGTGTTCAATGTTTAAGATAAAGCTTTTTGTTCTAATAAAACTGGCTTGTGTTAAATCACTTTATCCAATCTAGTTTGAATTTATATAAGAGATTGAATATACTTAGTTATACTTCATTTTTTTTTTTTTTTTTTACAGTAGTGAATACGAGTGAGGAAATAATTATTATTAATTAACAAGCAACAGATAATTAGCAAGCAAAATAAATATAATAACCGGAAATTGCATTTAGAATGCCAAAATACAGCGAGAAATCCTTTGCGACCTTAGTCAGCAACGTGTTTACATCTTCGAGCCTCAACTGGCCTCAGTCATAGTTAATTGCCTTGACTAGAGCCCCATCCACACGCATTGTCTCCCACATGCTTGATAATTTGAAATCCATGCCTTGATTTGATTGATTTCTCGTTGGACTTGTCTCAGCTTTCTCGAAATTCCTTACGTGTATTCTGGTGAATCGTGCTCCATTTCCAAGCGAGTTTAATTTGCTTCCTGTCCAGAAAATTAGACCACACCCATGCCTATGGCACCCACCGTCGTATAGCGAATGAGAAGATTGACAATTGTCTCAATTGCACTCTCTGTGCCATTTTGAGGTGGAGTAGTATTTTCGCCATGATGTCGATTGTCGAGAATTCTTCCAGAAAATCCTGTGAAATAAGGCATAGAGCTTTCAATCTCAAAATCAGCGAGTGCTGAATTAGAATTGATATAAGGTAGGGTATATCTGTATATATAAAAAGAATATGGAGAGACCTAAGAAGAACCAGGTTTGGATAACTTTAGGCCTCAAATATACCTAGCTTAACATAGCAAATATGATACATAAATTTCATGATTACCACTTTCAATTATGTCCTGTAAACAACATTTTTAAGAGGATAATGAAATGACGAAAGATATGGGATAATAAACAAATCTTGAATTCCTCATTTGAAGCTGAATTTTGTGTATTTGGTATGGAGGAAAATGTCTTTCTTGAAAATGATGGTTTTATCACTTATTTTCCCATATTTTGTTGATGAGTAGAAAATATTTTTGTGTGTGTTTGATTAAGTGAGGAAAAAATATTATTTTAAAAAAATGCGAAGTATGTAATTTAGGCGCACTATGGAGTGATGGGAAGTTTGGGGAAGGGGGGGGGGGGGTAGGGGGTTTGGGGGCGGAGGTGAGGGTAAGGAGTTGGGTGGGGCTGGGGCTGGGGGTGGAGTGGGGGCAAGGTGCGAGTGGTGGGGTTAGGGCAGGGGGGTGGGATAGGGTTGGGTTGTAAGTAGGTGTGGGGGTGGGGGTAGGGGGTAGGGGTGGGGTGAGGGTTGGTGAGGGTGGGGAATAGGACGGTGAAGATTGGAAAATATTTTTCCTCCTCCTGGTAGGGAAAATATTTTTCTCCAAGGAAAATAAATTTATGGGAAATAATTTTCAACACATTTAAGCCAACAAAACATGAAAAATTTGAAAAAAAAATTTCTTTCATACACGCACCCTTTATTTCGAACATTTATTCTTAATAAAATCAATAGTATAAATATCATTAGCAACAAAAGAAATATATGAGTAACAAAAGAAATAATATCTTAAAGCACATATCCGTCACCTATGATGTGATACATGTATTAATATTACACTTAGATTTTAGCATAAAACAATGCCAATTGTAGCATAATCAAATTTGTATTTGTATTGGTCAAAATTTGGACTGGACTTAGTAACTGCAAATGGATGTGGTCGAGGATTAAGCCGACCACGGTACAATGGCGATGAGTCGCCTTAAGAAGGATTAGTGCCGAGATCAAGTAAAGAATGTACGAAAGCAACGGTAGAATAAGTTTAGAATAGAAAGAAGGAATATTCCATTGGATATTCTTTCAGTTGTACTTTTTAGGGTTCCTTAGGAATATCCCCTATAAATAGGAAGAGATAAAGAACAAAAAGGAGATCTTCACTTTTGGGATAAGAACACATTGTAAAGGTTGACTACAGAGAATATACAAAGCTTGTCTTGTCCACTGATCCCATTATTCAACATATATCTTTTACTCACAAGATCCAAGTATCTCTTGTCCACCTTCATTTTATATTGTCCCCACGTTGTTGTCACGAAGGAGAATCATACAAGTCATCAACCATTTGGGTGACAAGTTTCTTCTTATTACATTTATTGTCATTATCTACATTCATTGCAGGCTTTCTTTATTGCATTCATTGACAATCATTGCGCACTCTTAATCGGCATTCAGTACTATCGGACATGATCCTACATCGTTAATGCGTTAAGTCTTTAGATCTAGGAGTTATTATATTTAATTAGGATTCACCCCCTGTTTTCTTATTAATTCGTTTTAAGAAAAAATTTAACACTTTTTTGGTAAAACAATTTGGCGCCGTTTGTGGGGATTTTCTAGTTAAAATTTTAGTTTCTTCTAGATAAAAAAACAACAGCAGCCATCTTTTTCTCGTTTGCACGAACTAACAATGGCAGGAAAAGGAGATGAAAGACTGAAAGCAGTAGTGGACGTCACTGCCAACCTCTTGAACACCATAGACGAGGTTGACAGAGAAGACAAGGAGAATGTGACGCCGAGCGCTACACCCAAGCGGAGTGACTCACCTCTCCCTCATGGAAGTGTAATTGCTTCACGCGAAAGGGGAGCCTCCACGTCCACAACTGAGGAAGCGCAACCAGCAATGAAAAAACTACTGGAGGCATGGTTTACAAGTACTCTAAACAACATACTCGACAACCCGTTCAAGGGGAGAGTAGAAGCACTGCACGAGCGGATACCACAACAACCGCCAACGAGCAACACGCTCCTCTCCCAACAGGTAACACTCATACGGTTGTTGATGCACGTAATGAGCACTTGCGGCCATTCTAAAGAAAATGAAAGAAATGTAGAACGAGAATAAAGCGCTCCGCGACCAAATGAGGGAGCATCAAGAAAGGGTTGATAAGATACCGGGCGCCCGAAAATTGCTACCAAAATGGGACGTCGGCCGGTCGTCGAACAACCGTACAGCGATGAGGCAGCCCCACACGCCATACCTAAGATCTTCAAAATGCCACCATATTTGAAGATATACGACGGCACAATAGACCCCGAAGATCACATCATTCATTACGTCACATCAATCGCCTAGCGAGGGACTCAGGGACTTCCTCGCCCGGTTCAACAGAGTAAGAATGAGCTCGCCAAACGTATCAAAAGGGATGGCAGTGGCAGCTTTCCAAAATGGGTTGAACAGGGATGGGTTGAGGGCAACCAGAAAGTTGTTAAGCAGAATCATGAAATACCCTCCCACCACTTTGGAAGAAATTCACAACGCCTATTGCGCCGATGTGAGAGAAGACGAGGATGACCTCAACGGTCCAACCCAACGGCTAATGTCAGTCCAAATGGAGTCGAGGAAATACCACCGTAATGACGGTCGAAGAGACTATTCAGGTCCACGCCTCAACCGGGACAGGCACCAACCATATGTCAGAACGGCCATCCTACATCTCCTCGCCATACAGAAGGGTCGTCCAAGCCACATACAGGGACTCAGCGAAACAAAAGAGGTATGCCTCCACTGTTATCTGCTCACAATTTTGTGTTTCCCCTTCAGAAATAGTGTACGCACTAAAGAAGCTCGGCCCGAAGGTGAAGTGGCCACAAAAGATGAAGTCCGACCCAAGTACCAGAAAGTCGAACGCCCTCTGTGAGTTTCATCAAGAGCGGGGTCACAATACTGTAGACTGCATAGCCCTACGACAAGAAGTGGTGAACATGCTTCACCAAGGACACCTAAGGGAGCTGATGAGCAACCGAGGAAGAGCCAACTTCGTCCGCAGACAAGAACAACACCAAGGCCCTCCAAAGCCACCCTCCCCCGCCCGCACCATCCAAATAATCATCGGCGGAGGCGACGAAGCAGCAATTAATCACGTGAAGTTCACCACCACACATAAACTGAAACGGTCGATCACCCATGAACGGTATGATGACCTCGAAGACAGTACCATCTTCGATAAGTCAGATACCCACGCTTTGACCTTTCCTCACTTCAATGCTCTTGTCATTACTTTACGTATTTCAGATACTGATGTAAAAAGAATAATTGTAGAAGACGGGAGCGCCACGTGTATTATTCACCCTCGAGTTCTCGCACAAATGAGACTCGAGGACAAGATAGTACCACGCTGCATAACGCTAACAGGTTTAACAATGCAGTTGAGCGAACCTCAGGAGAGATAACGCTGCCCGTTCTGGCCGGGGGCGTCACCCTAGAAACAACATTTGATGTCATGAACCAGGACACAACTTACAACGCCATCATAGGGCGACCCTGGATACACTCCATGAGGGCTATCCCATCCAACTTATATCAAGTAATCAAATTTCCTACTCCGTGGGGGATATTAAGCATCCGAGGCGAATAGCGCACAGCCCAAGAATGTTACCGCATCACCCAAGATTGTACATACACTCAACAGTTAAAGGGGATAGTCTCGGGAGCATAGCAATTACCAAAAGTCGGGGCCCGAACTCGACGAACAAAAAATGTCATAAAGGATCCCGACGTCGTGGAAACCACAGGGTCAACAGTAGAAGACCCCGACCCCGTCAAACTAGACAACAACGACCACATCAAAAAGGCTTACATCGGCCGTAAACTCTCAGAACCAGGTAAATTTCATAAATTTTTAATTGGCAACGCCGATTTGTTTGCTTTCTCCCATGCAGATATGCCAGGTATCCCGAAAGACATTGCCACGCACAAGTTGAACGTTGATCCACTCTACCCGCCGGCACAACAAATAAGAAGAAAATTCAACGCCGCAATCAACGAGGCAATCCGTGATGAGGAGGAAAAACTACTCTCTAACGGCTCCATCCGAGAGTCGAAATACCCACAATGGGTCGCCAACATGGTCACGGTGAAAAAGAAAAACGGAAAGTGGCGGATGTGCGTGGATTTCACGGGCCTAAACAAGGCCTGCCGGAAAGACTCCTTTCCGTTGCCTCACATCGATCAACTAATCGACGCAACGGCAGGGCACGAGTTGTTAAGTTTCTTAGATGCCTACTCAGGTTACAACCAAATCCTCATAGAGGAGGAGACCAGGAAAAGACCACTTCCATCATCCATCAGGGGACGTACTGCTACAGAGTCATGCCATTCAGGTTGAAGAACGCAGGGGCGACTTATCAAAGCCTGGACTCCAAGATATTCAAGGACCAACTCGGCAAAACGATGGAAGTTTACATAGAAAATATGTTGGTCAAACTAAAAAGGAAGGAAGACCACATCGACCATCTGAAGGAAGCCTTCGATATACTAAGGCGATACGGCATGAAGTTGAACCCCGAAAAGTGTGCCTTCGGCGTAACCTCGGGCAAGTTCCTCGGCTTTCTAGTGTCACAAAGAGGAATTGAGGTCAACCCCGACCAGATCAAAGCCATCGAGGGAATACCCAAAGTATTGACCAGCAAGAAACAGGTACAAAAGCTGACCGGCCATATAGCTGGCCTGTCGAGGTTCATCTCACGATCCTCTGACAGATGCCACAAATTCTTTAACGTGCTTAAAAAGGACAACGGACTCCAGTGGAATTCAGAATGCATCAAGGCCTTAAGAGAACTAAAGTCGTACTTTTCCTCACCCCCGCTACTCGCCAAAGCAGAACCCGGCGAGCGCCTCCTGATATACTTGGTCGTATCAAAGGTCGTAGTAAGTGCAGTGTTGGTCCGTGAAAACAAAGGTACGCAATCTCCAATCTATTACATTAGCAAAATCATGGTCGACGCCGAAACAAGGTACCACCACCTCAAAAAGTTGGCCTTGGCATTGGCCATAGCTTCACGAAAGCTTAGACCCTATTTTCAATGTCACGCCATATCGGTAGTCACGACCTTCCCCCTAAGGAGCATCCTACATAAACCCGATCTGTCGGGGAGATTGGCCAAGTGGGCCATAGAATTGAGTGAGCACGATATAACATATCAGCCGCGAACAGCGATAAAATCGCAGGTACTCGGTGACTTCGTCGCTGATTTCAGTGCCAAAATAATGCCTGAGGTCGAGCAGGAACTTCTCGTACCTCTCCCGGATTACCCGACCTATGGGTCCTATACACCGATGGAGCTTCCAACGCGTCAAGATCTGGACTAAGACTCGTACTCGAGGTCCCAACAAGCGAAGTCATCCGCTAATCCATACAGTGCCCCGATATGACTAACAATGAGGCCGAGTACGAGGCCATAATTGCAGGACTAAAGCTAGCTCTCAAGTACGGTGCACGACGAGTTGTCCTCCGATGCGACTCACAACTCGTTGTCAACCAAGTTACAGGGACTTTCCAAATCAAAGAGCAGAGGCTACAAAAGTGCCGGGCAGAAATTCATAAACTACTGCCAGAATTCGACGAATGTCAACTCGACCAGATACCTCGAGCACAAAACATCGAGGCTGATGGCCTTGCCAAGCTAGCAGCAGCCACCAAAAACATAAGTAGAAAAGAAAACATGGTTACCCTCCTCCACTCGTCAATAGACCAACTTGAGGTACACTCTGTAAATTTAACTTGGGACTGGCGCAACCGTATTATAACATATTTGCAGGAGGGAATACTCCCATCAGACAAAAAAGAAGCCAAAAGGCTTTGAATGCAGGCGACCAGGCATCATAAACCACGACCTATACAAAAGAACGTTTGGCAGTCCTTTGGCGAAATGCCTAGGGCCAAACCAAACAAGACGCGTCCTCGAGGAAGTACACAAAGGCCACTGTGGTGCCCATACCGGCAACCGAGCCCTCGTTAGATGCCTCATACGAGCATGCTATTATTGGCCCACCATGAAGAAGGAAGCCGCCGACTTGATCAAGAAGTGCTAGCAGTGCCAGAAATACGCTCCTATGATACACCAAGCGGGCGAACATCTCCACTCGGTCACATCGCCATGGCCATTCATCAAATGGGGAATGGACATCGTGGGACCACACCATGACGCGCGTGGCCATGACGTCATCCTACGCCAGCCACACCAACCGCAGCCCCGCTGTCAACGCCGCCAGTTCAACCTCGTCCGATTCGATTCAATCAGCACGACCAAGTTTCCTCTAAACGATTGCAGACAGAATCCGCTCATCGAGGATATCCAAGATCACGACCTTAACAAGCGGAGGGACTAACTGTATTGGTCAAAATTTGGACTGGACTTAGTAACTGCAAATGGACGTGGTTGAGGATTAAGCCGACCACGGCACAATGGCGATGAGTCGCCTTAAGAAGGATTAGTGCCGAGGTCAAGTAAAGAATGTATGGAAGCAACGGTAGAATAAGTTTAGAATAGAAAGAAGGAATATTCCATTGGATATTCTTTCAATTGTACTTTTTAGGGTTCCTTAGGAATATCCCTTATAAATAGGAAGAGATAAAGAACAAAAAAAGGATCTTCACTTTTGGGATAAGAGCACATTGTAAAGGTTGACTACAGAGAATATACAAAGCTTGTCTTGTCCACTGATCCCATTATTCAACATATATCTTTTACTCACAAGATCCAAGGATCTCTTGTGCACCTTCATTTGATATTGTCCCCACGTTGTTGTCACGAAGAAGAATCATACAAGTCATCAAACATATTTGGGTGACAAGTTCTTCTTATTACATTTATTGCCACTATCTACATTCATTGCATGTTTTCTTTATTGCATTCATTGACAATCATTGCGCACTCTTAATCGGCATTCAATATTATCGGACATGATCCAATATCGTCAATGCATTAAGTCTTCAGATTTAGGAGTTATTATATTTAACTAGGATTCACCCCCTATTTTCTTACTAATTCGTTTTAAGAAAAGGTTTAACACTTTTTTGGTATAACAGTGTTATCAATCTATAAAATTTAACAGTGGTGTTAAGCAGGTAACAGATAAATTAAAATTTCTCGGAGATTACAAGCAAAATCCACTGACAAAATTTACAAGCTGCAAAATTGGTGGCAGACGTGCAACACAAACAGAGACCTTTTCATTTTGCTCTCACCCCCCTGCCAAAGGAGAGCCGTCTCACAAGGCTTTGATTAAATCAAAATCTTCACAGCTCCTGCAATATCATGCAGCTCCTCCTTTGAAACCTTTCTCCACACTCCACCAATCAGCAGGTGGCCTTTTGAACCTTCCAAAGGCATGTCATCGTTGCCATTTTTATCCGAGAGAAAATCCCTGTCGTTGTTGCTATCACCAGGCTCCTCTGTCTTCCTCATTTTCTTCATATTAGGATGGTCGTCCAAGCATTCAATCGCAGAGGAAGCATCCCGCTTGCATCCACATTTATCAGTTTCTGGAATATCATTGTCGGATGATTTTGCAACTTCTGCTGAATCATCAACAAAATCAAGAATCGGAAGACAGCCAGTAGAACCAAATGTATGGGGCAGCATACCAATGGGGCATGGTTTCCATGCTTCTGCAACTACCCATCTGCTCCCGGCATCTGCTGTCTTCACGTTATTGCCCTTCACAACTCGGCGCTTAATTAATTCAAGCTTCTGAGCAGCCTGGCGAAGAGAATCTTCCCCCTTGGAAAGTAGGAAGCTTTCTGAACTATTGGTGGAAGGATCCGAGTGTATAATCTCTGAATCAAATACGCCCAGTGAGCAGAGCTTATTTAACTTATGGAATAAAGAATTCCTTCCCATAATCTGAGCAATGACAAGAGCTGAATCCATCAGCTGATTATTGGTGGGAGGGGACAAAAGTAAACATTTACGTAATATTTGTTGCAGCGTTGCCTCTGGAAGACCAAGTTTTCTTGAAGAATCTTCCCTGTCAGCAGCAGAATCACTACGGTTAAGAGGCTTCAGTGTCTTCAGATTTCCAACTACCTCTTCACATAGATAGAATAATAGTTGAATTCGGAGAGATTCATTTTCATTTCCTGAAAAGCAATTTTCACCTGACAATGATTCATTAGAGAAACGAGTCATCAATAAAACTCTAAAACCCCATTTTGTTAATCAAGCAAATAAAATTAAAATAAAACTAGAGAAGCATCATAGCAACTCTGGTTCAACTAAGATTCAACTTCAAATGCACTCTGCTGAACTAAAATACCCGTGGCTTGTCTGGTCTCTCACGTAAGAAATAACTCGGCATAAAACTTAGCCTTACTAATACAGTCATTCTAGCCTCTGCCTCATTAGTATAATGTCTGGTCACCATTTTCATTTTTCCATAAATAATACTACTTGGATAACTTATAAGAGAATCTACATAACATTTCATAATGGATAGAATATCGAATAAGAATATTCATATTTGGTAAGAGCACCTAAAGTGAGAAAATACAATTGAAGTAAGGCGCCTTGTATTACTATATAAAACATTTAAAGCTAATTCTGCAATTTGGTATTAGAATCTCCACTGAACAGTTTTTATACATATCATCCCTGTACATATAATGCCTGTATCACTAGTTTGCGAACCAACCGACAGCTTGAAGCATTTGGAATATTTAGCATAGATGAAACGAGATCTGAAGGGAAATACAGTCAGAACACACTATTTAATGTAGCACCCAGCGCCTAGTTTATCAATTTCAAAGTTGACTGCATACTAGAACATGCATAATTCCATGTTCCTGAGTCCCAGGTATATTACTAAGTGCATCTTACAACAAGACCAAGCACAAGTAATAACGAAAGTCAAAAAAATGCTTCCTTAGACGTCTCAAACCAGAATTTCACTTACCAAGTTCATGTTTCATGGCCTCCAGAGTCTCGATTTTGTCAAGAGCTGCCTGCAGAAGAGTCAGAAGCAACTCTGGTTCTCTATTTGACAGTTTTTTCAGTATTGGTTTCCAATAATCATATGCACTGTGGCTGTCAATGATATCATGGAATTTCAAAGCGTTCACTAACTCCCCATTTGGGGAATCTAATGGCTGCAGCATAAGTTCCAAAAGCACAGATATCACTTCGGAAGAAGAGGAAGTATATAATCGAAGAACGGCTTTGGTAGCTCTGGTAATCTGTTTCTTAGAACCTGAAACACAAATTATTCCAGAAAACTTAAGATCACCTAAAACACAATAAATATGCAGATGCTAAAGCATATGCCATCAATAATCAGCAAATCACTTTCATCAATTAAGCATCATACATAACAAACTTTGCAGGAAGAAACTCTATATTTGAAGTACCATTTTAATTTTCAAGCCACACAGTATTTATACAGATATCACTGCACGAGAGTTAATTGACCAAACAAGATGCTAAATTCCACAATAAATAGAACCTTCGAAAGAACCTAAATGGTGGTAACTGCTGACTGGACAGTCCTGAATCCTAAAGGATGTGACTGTGAGCATTTGTAATCCTCAAAGGATACACTAATCTTTTCAAAGCATCAACTTGCTAATGCACTCAATGCATAAAATTGTCACTGTACGAAGCTTTAATAGTTCCAATGTTTAATCCTCAGTTTCCTAAAATAGCTACAAAGGAGGAACGAGCAAATCACCGTAAGTGGCAAACTTTCGTGTGCGATAGATTTTCAAAACAGGTAGAGAAATTGTTCTAAAGCAAACTTCATAAAAGTAGATGCAGCAACACTGCCACAGACATGAACCGTGGACATAGAGGCTTGAAGCTGAATAAAATTACCAGAACATGGTAGCAACCCAGAGGTGACAGGGAGAAACTTGTTTCTTGCACAAAGCTGTGCCAGTCTGATTCCTGTATAATAGAACCAAACTTATCGGAAAACTAGGAGAAAAGCGGAAATTTTGCACTACTTATCTTTTTAAAAGGAAAAGGGGAACAAAAGAGTAAGCCCAGCAAGAAGTTGTATTGGCTGATTATAATGTCAATCAACTCCATGCACAAAGTACACTTCCTTTTCCTTTTCCTTTTCCTTTGTTTTTAATGAGAACAATTCCAGCTGCAGGACTAACTCAAAACCATTCAACACATACAGGCGTGAAACAGTATCAAACTATGACAATAACTTCGCAATAGACAGCAAGAACAAAGTTTACGTAGCCGTGAACACTTGTTCAAGCAAAATATCTATGACGAAAAATGGAATCCTCCAGTGATTAGAATCAAAACTTCTACAGAAACATCAGGAAAACTAACTATCAACAAATCACGATATCTTTTATGTTTTACCAAGATGAGGAGGAAGAACCTGCACCTCAATGAAAAGAAATAGTTCAATGAGATTTAAGAGCAAAATAGAGGTTCCATTCGGTGATGTGCCATCTAGTGAAATCCAGTTGCCATCCCCTGAATGTCTCAGAGGTGGAAGTACAGAGAAAAATAAGACAAGAAAAATAATGGGTGTTGTTCTAAGCAAATGTTACTTTTTAATTTTCTTTTCTGTTAGTTACTAACCTGGTGCAAATCGTGATCTGCGAAACTTAATAGAATAGACAAATCATTAACATCTACTGATTGTATGATATTACCGGTCGATGTTGCAAGCGAAAAGAGCTTTCTCTTCATCGAAAGTGAATTGTGTAGCAAATTTAGTAATGGAACTTTTGAATGATTGTTTAGTTTGTTATGTAGATATGTATTAGAAAGTGAAACTATTGATGTGACCATTAATCATTTTCAAGCATGAAAAAAACAATGAAAACACGTCAAGGACAGTTGTAATGGTGATATTTACATTCATACAATGTGCTTTGATGGTTTTAATTTAGATTATATTCGTATACTCTGCACCACACCTACAGGTGCTTACAAACATACTATGTTAATGTACCAGACATCAAGCAGATCACAATCCTCATGCAAGAAGATTAAACAATGGATGATATCACTTGGCAAAACCACCATAATACAACAAGAGGTTAGAACTTCACTCACGCTTTTCTGAAGTAGTTGATCTTGTAGTCTGCTTCATTTCCACTAAGGAAGCCATCTCTAGTAATCTGTGTTTGATTTCTTTCCTCAGATTAGCTGTTGGATCCCTTCGAATTGCTTTGCTTTGCGGTTCCCAATAATATGATTTCAACCAGTCAAGTGCCTGAAATTATTGACATCATTTAAAACATGATCCAGCTGGGACTTTCTGTTTGTCAGTTGACTCACTCTTACAGACATGACGAAAAGAAACTTAATGTGTACTCCGCACCATGTTCTATTTTTGGTTTACTCCTTATTCTCCATTCTAAAATAGATTACCTTTTCTAGCTTTAACTTAATCAATTGTAGAAGTATGGAGTTTGGATGGATGAATCATGAACAGATGACAGTAGCTAAAGGCCTTGAAGTGATTCAAAAGATTGTACAAGGTTCAAGGATAGAAATTCGAATTATTGGTATGGGGAAAGAAAAAGAAAAAGATAGAACTACTTTGTCCAGCCAAAACCCACATGCGCTTGGAATTATAACAAGTCCACTGGATGCTCAGTCGTCGACTATGTTGTAAAGACTCTTCATTTTAGCCGCCGCACCCGTGTTGACACGACATTGGTACTGGTCAGGGTGTGGGTTTCGTATTGGTCAATCGAGATCGGGTACTTTGACCACAATCCATGGACAAATTTGAGGAAAAATGAAAAATGAAAGATTGACTTTTAGATGCTGCCTGCTAGTGTGTCTAGTGACTACAACTTGAGAAATTCTCAAAATGAAAGATTGAATTATTAGCTGCACTCCACAACCACAGAATATTTCTCATAATTTAGGATATTTTTATAGATCTATTTTTAGAATTTTGAATTATTTTTAGCCGAATCCCCGCACCCATATCCGTATTTGGATCCATACTCCGGAATCTTAAAATTTGGATTATGGAGGACTTGACATCTAGATCCCCACCCAGATTGGATACTCGCACCCCAGTCCAAGCAAACAAAGTCGTCGATATGGACAGTCAGCGGGATTCTGCTCCACCCAGCTCATGGACATGCCTACGTCACATGTTGTCTAAACCATTGCAATCAAGTGCAAGGAAGGTTTCCAGCAAAGAGCTTCATCTTTATGACCTAATCATTATAGCGTTTCAACACCTCTCCACAATGTCCACGGCTATTCAGTATAACAAATGTGATGCAAGATTGCTTCCTTCCGTTCTCTCTATTTTATCTTTTTAAAATGATTTTCATTGTCCCAAAAAAAAAAAGGTCCTCCAGAAAATGTTCCCTTCAGTTTTATCTTCTTCCACATCTAGTTGATGCTTGCTAGGAAAAACCAAACAAGCTAAGGTCAATCTCATTTACATTTATTCATAGTTTGAGAACCTGAAAATATAATATTGTCAACTGGCAAGCTTCCCAGTCCAGATCAGATCAAAGATATCTACCACTCAAAAGCAGCTTATTCAGCTGATATCATGCAAGCAGAGATGAAATGTATGTTCTTAGACCAAATAGTTCACTCAGTCGGCTCCAAATTAATTTTAAATCACTGCTGAAAACCTATATCCTTTTTTTTTGAGATATACTGCAGAAAACCTAGATCCTACAGAAATAACAAGAGAAAATGGAAAACCTGCTTTTATCCAAAAGGATCTGGTAAGTATTACTAAGGCAGAAAAGACTGCATCACAAGAATAACACAACCCACAATGCTACAAAGAATATAGAGACTTAGGAATCAATCATTTTCCAATAACTAGAGAATGAGAAATCTATCGCTAAAGAAGAGGATATGCTGCATGTGTCTCTTTTTATATTGGTGATGTTTGGGCTAAATCGCAGCACCTCAGCTAATCTACTGGATAGCTTATCCAGCCTGCTAGCACAGGTTCCAAAGTGACCCTGAACACCGAGCCTGAAGCAAATCATCTCACACCTAGTGTTGCAGCTAGACCTTAGATTACAGCAAACATAATTTGGCCTCCTCCGATTAGTTTTATCACTACAAACCACAATATCTCTGTATTTCTAGAAGAGAATCCAACACTACACTAAATACTACTATAGATGTCAAAGTGGAATGGAACTTCAAGAACCTTTTTCTTGGATAAATAGAACATCAGGAAGGCATAGCTTCGACTGTAATAATATAATAAACGATACATACTTAAGCAAAAGGTTAAAGAGGGAAGGAAAGATATCTACCTTGGTAGAGGCAAGACGGACCAACTGCAGTGAAGGAAGATCACGATGAGAGCCCTCTACAAGGAAATAGCAACCACTTTAAGAAAGGAGCTTTTTCAAATTTGAATTTCCGTTGGAAAATCATAAGCCACAGCCAAACTAATATTGCTAACTGATGCAATAAGTAACATATCGTATATAGCTTCCAATTATTTTTAGCCTACAGCAGATGCAGAAGGAGGACAAGTTGATCAATCTCTATATCTCCATTACTAGCTTACTCACTCACTAAGACTGCAATAATTCTACTCTTATTTTGGTTGGAAATCTACTCGTTGATGCTATGTATAACTGACTTACATTTTCTTTTTATGACCGAGAAATCCTCGAGAGCCAGTGGCGCATGGTTCGAAACTCAGTGGATAATGAAAACTGACGTACACTTTTAACAACTTTTTTTATAAGGCTGACTTACATTTAACAATCAACAACTGCCAGTTTTGAAGTTGTAAATATGCATAAACACTCACCATGGCGAACGTCAATCAGCATACGTGGAATTCCAATATCATTGGCTGCCTCACCTATAGAGATTTCTATTTTCTTGCGGGTCTTCTCAACAACGCCATTTACAAGCCTTGAAAAGTAGTTATCATTACTATGCTGATTTTGCTAGCTAATAAAGCACTCACCCACACACAACTGCTATCCTAATATACCACCATTTTAGCCACAACAACCTCACAAATAAGAGGGAAAAGATGAAAAGTTAAATAAAGAATAAACTTAAAAGTGTACAACGGGAAGTTCGACCAACAAGACTGTAAAGAAAACACTGATGATTGTGTCATTTTTTGTACTGCACAATGAAAGAATAGAAGATTCCACAACTATTAGAATGATACGAGCCGTGGAATCAGCCACTGGCTTGCATCACATCCCCTGGGGTGCGGCCCTTCCCCGGACCCTGCGTGAACACCGGATGCTTTGTGCACCGGGCTGCCCTTTTTCACTTGTATTTTTTGGCATAAAGAGAGGATAAATTGTTTGTACTAGATAGTTGGGAAAATTTGATAGATGAATGTAGTTGAGCCTACACTTATCTCGTATATACTTTTTTTAGACCATCACTTACATAGACTTTTTTGTTTACATTATAGAAAAAGAAGGAGAGGTTAGTTGCTTGCATTTATTCATGATTGAGTATTCTATTTTGATTTTGTTTTTATTTAAAATTGTAGAAATATGACTTGTTTCTCTTTTTGCTAATGTTACTATATCTCTTTGATTTTTATTTCAAAAAAAAAATCTAATTTTGACTTCATATTCTTATCTTTGAAATAATAATATCATTGAAATAAGAAAGAAGTGAAATATTCGAACTTGAATCTTCTGTTTTCTAAGTTAAATAATGTAAAAACAGAATGTAAGTAGGCAAGGGGACGGACGTAGCCAAGTGGATGAAGAATTAGAATAAAATAGATTCATTCAGTAACTTTCACAACCTTGGTGTATATGAATAAAATAAATTTATTTAACTTCTAAAAATACAAAAAAAACAAAGCGTAAAAAACATCACAATTTTTTAACAATGGTGTTATCTTAACATTTTAAAAAAAGAAAAAGAAAAAAAGGGGCATTCTCGCAAATCACACAAAGGGAGGAAAATATTCTTTAAAAAAACTAGTGACAAATGTACCTCATAATTGCCATGCAATATAGCATAGAAAGCATTTCTTCTGATTGCAAAGCATTTCCACCTAGGTCCTTCCTGCAAAAGGGAATAACCAAGAACAATGTTCATTTTAGGACTCCCAACATAAGAGGATAAATCAACATAGCAAACTCACTCGTAACATATACTCCCTCCATCCCAATTTATGTGATCTTGTTTGACCGGGCAGGAATTTTCAGAAAATTGAAACTTATGGTTCAAAACAAAAACAACAACATAACCAGTATTTGTATGGCTATAATGAAAACGGTAAAGTTAAATTATTTTGTCCTTCTTTTCGGGATAGGTTAAAAAGGAAAGTGCATCACATAAATTGGGACACAAAGAGGCAAAAAAGGGTTGAATCAGTAAAGAGTGACCTGAAAAAAGCATCTTTTTGCTGAATTTCAATAATTGAAGCTGTAACTTCTACTGCAACAGGAATGCATCCTCTGCTCCTCCACGTCGATATCTAATATCCCCAAAAAAAAAGTATTCAATTCAAATCTATAGCAAGAGAAAAAATTATTAAGGCAAAAATATAGAAGGAAAAAAGTGCTTTTTATTTTGGGAGTTAATTACCCTTTGAAGAGCAAAAGCAACAGAAGGAGGAGAAGAAGAGAAAAGGGAATCTCGAACAGAGTTCCATTCATCCCAGCTTATCCACGGCACCAATTTGAAACCCTGAGAGTTGGTTTCAGCGGTTTCGTCGTCAGCTGTTGGTTCGATAAACCCTAGAAGAGACTCCATTGTAGAGGAGTTGAGTAGAATGAGGGAGGAGAGTCCGAGGGTTTAAGGGGTTTAACAGAAGAGACGGTCCGGGCCGGACAAGAGGACACTTTTCTGGCCCGGTTCAGGGACCATTTGATACACTTCTTTTTCGACACTATTTGATGTACTTGGGAGTTTGTCATTTTTACAAGTACTTAAAATATTGGCAAAATACATAGTTTATCCATTAATCTTGCAGCAAAATTTCTCTTACACACTTCCCTTTCAGGAAAAAACTTTTACACACTCAACCTTTCAAAAGTGTGTCTAAGACACACTATTTTTGACCAGATAGCACTTACGTATTTACACACAAAAAGCGCGTGAAGCCCGTAAAAAGTCTCATTTTTTGTCTCCCCTCCCCATAGGACCCCTCAACCCCCCCCCCCCGTTGGTTTATTGTCCAAATATTATGAAAACTATTTATTTGTGATAGATTTAAGAGCTTTAACAGTAGAATTGAGGGTTTAGTGAAAAAACCTAGAATCCACCATTGTTGGCGTATCGAAAAAAGCTTGAAAATTCAGTCGGGTCTTGTTGATTATTGGATTATTAAACTCAATTTGTTGCTCGCTTATTTTCGGCTAGTTGTTTAGATGGTGTGGTTAAATTTTTGTGTTGTTGGAAACTTTCTCATCACAAACAACCATAGTGGTAGCAACAATGGTGCTTAAAATAAAAAATGGAAAGATGAATAAGATGGGTTTTAATTTTAATTTCTAATATTTTCTTCCTTTTTTAAAGTCAATGACACGTGTCATGACCCTATAGGGTGTGACTTTCACGTTATCTAAAAAATTGGTCAAGCACAAAAGTGATGTGTCTTAGACACACTTTTGAAAGGTTGATTGTGTAAAAGGGTTCCCGTAAAAGAGAGGTGTGTAACAGGGATTTCGCTGCAAAGTTGATGGGTAAACTATGTATTTTGCCTAAAATATTAAAAATTTCCATATGTGGCCAAGCTTCGATCGCGACTGCTCATCGCTTCTAGCCGCCTTATTCCGTCACCCAAGATCCAAGTCAGCGTCGACAAAAGTCTCTTGATTCCTCGCTACTGGGGCCTCGTCCTTACTTTAGCTTTAGGAAGAAATCTAGACTTTGGAGCTCAGCTTAGGGATCAGATATCGATATTAGAAGGGCTAGCTAATCTAAACCTTATTAGAGGGGGAAAATTTGCTCGATTCAAGTGGTACGTAAGTTGGGTTTAGAACGTCATTAGACAGTTCGGTTCCTATCTTACAACAACAATAACAACAACAACAACTCAGTAAAATCCCATTAGTGGGATCTAGGGAGAGTAGTGTGTACGCAAACCTTACCCCTATCCGAGGGGGTAGAGAGGTTGTTTTCGAAAGATATCGGCTCAAGACGACGAAAAGAAACACTATATCAGTACCATTAATAGAAAATCGAGAAATAATGACAGCATCATACGAACCAAAAAATAGATGAAAAAAAGCAATAACAATAACCAGTAAATAAAGCTTGGCATAACAAAAACGGAGAATAGTGTGAACATAACATTAACCACTAGCAGTCGGAGACACAACCCTATCAGACTAGCCTCACACTGGTACGAAGTAAAAATAAAAACAATACTCAACCACCTCCTAACCTACAACCCTAATGCGCGATCCCCCACACCTTCCTATCAAGGGTTATGTCCTCGGAAATCTGAAGTCACGCCATGTCCTGTCTAATCACCTATCCCAATACTTCTTAGGTCGCCCTCTATCTCTTCTCGTACCCGCCAAAATCAACCGCTCACACCTCCTCACCGGGGCATCCGGACTTTTCCTCAGTACGTGCCCGAACCATCTAAGCCTCGCTTCTCGCATCTTGGCATCCATAGTTGCCACGCCCACCTTCTTCCGAATATCTTCATTCTGAATCTTATCCATCTTAGTGTGCCTGCACATCCACCTCAACATCCTCATTTCTGCTACTTTCATCTTCTGGGTATGTGAGTTCTTAACTGGCCAACACTCAACCCCATACAACATGGATGGTCTAACCACTGCTCTATAAAACTTACCTTTGAGTATCGGTGGCACTTTCCTGTCACACAAGACTCCAGATGCTAATCTCTATTTCATCCACCCCACCCCTATACGGTGTGTGGAATCCTCGTCGATCTCCCCATCTCCCTGGATAACCGACCCAAGGTACTTGAAACTGTCTCTCTTGGGGATGACCTGTGATTCAAGCCCCACTTCCATGCATGTTTCCCTCAGCTCCGCGTTGAACTTGCACTCCATGTATGCCTTCTTAGTCCTAGCTTAACTTGAAACCCTTAGACTCAAGGGCCTGTCTCCAAACCTCCAGCCTCTCGTTGACGTCGCCTCGCGTCTCATCTGGCAGCACTATGTCATTAGCGAATAATATAAACCAAGGCGCCTCCCCTTGAATACGGCATGTCAGTGCGTCCATCACAAGGCAAATAAGAACGAGTTGGGTGCCAATCCTTGGTGTAACCCCATAATAACCGGGAAATGCTCCGAGTCGCTCCCTAATTTCCTAACCCGAGTCTTAGCTCCATCGTACATGTCTTTAATCGCCCTTACGTAGGCAACCGTCACACCTTTAGCCTCCATGCATCTCCGGACGACCTCTCTAGGGACCTTGTCATACGCTTTCTCCAGGTCAATAAACACCATGTGTAGGTCCTTCTTCCTATCCATGTACTGTTCCACCAACCTCCTAATAAGGTGGATAGCTTTCGTAGTTGACCGGCCCAGCATGAACCCAAACTGGTTGTCAGATATAGATACCGTTCTCCTCACCCTCGCTTCTACCACCCTCTCCCAAACTTTCATGGTATGACAGTTCAGTTGCTATTTTATACAATTAATTTGCTTGTAAGGTAATTGCAAGTATATATTTATGATCAAATATGTTACACCCCATGTTTTCATACGTGGATGTACGTCATAAGTAAATTGATATAAGCTCAGAAACGAGATGTTACATCCCGCATTTTCGTACGTTAAAGTTTCGTCATAAGTTAATCGACGTAAGCTCGAGAATGAGATTATTTTTGAGCTTATAAGTGTTATGCTATTTCAAACAAGTGATAAGTAAATTCGTGAAGGTGAGAGGGTAAATAAATCGAAGAAGATGAGTTTCGTCGAAGTTTGAAATTTTTTGGGAAAATATGGTCCAAGCTATAATACACGGTATTTATGGACTAGTACCATACAAGGTACCACATGACCATGATAGTAAGGTGTATAAAGTGTGCTAAAAGTAAGTAGTATTTTAAGTAATTTAAGATAATTCTTAATTATGTTGGTAATTAGTTAATTATTGGTTGATGGGAGATTAACAAGTTAATCAAGTGATTAGTGGATAACTAATGAGAATCTTGGATAAGTGATCGCGGCCTACTCCGCACTACTATTTAAGTAGCGAGAGAGGGTCGGAGCAGCTTTTACTCGATTTAGGGTCGGGATCGAATCCACAGAGAGCTAGAATTTGGAATTGAGTATCGATCTAGTGTAAATTTGTGTATATGTTCTTAATTGCACTTCTATTCATTTTTGGGATTTTTTGTTTATTTCTACTATTATCAAACTACAAATGGTAATTGCAACTAAATTATGCTAAGAGTTATAATGCTACGAATTGTTCAAATAGGTTTAAAATGCACTAGGGGAGTGACTACCGCCTAAGTGGTCAATAGACGGGTACTTGAATCTAAGGCATGCTTGACACATTTGGGGAGTATGTTATAACCGTTGCACGACTTTACCCACTCTACACCTCTCGGTGGTTCGAGTGATTTTGCCTGAATTGGCTTTCTCAAGACCAATTGGGTATGCAAATTTGCACAAGCAACTAGGGTTCAATTCGGGTATTATTCTCTCGAGGTTTAACCCTTTAATTGGGGCTATCAATCTCTTGAGTACGCCCCAATTCATTGTTGGACCAATTTTGGAGACTTAGGCTCTCTTTCTTAAGAAGAGCTCAAGTCAACTCAACACAAACTAGTGTTTGCAATAACTAATTTAGAAATTTACCATGAAATTGGCCCAAATAACAAACACCCATAGTCAATTTAGCCCTAAATTACAAGACCCATCAATTACCCACACTAGGGTTGAGCCACAACCCTAGCTTATGGGTCTAGCTGCTCATAATTAAAGAAGAAAAGCAAGAAATAGATGAAGATAATCTCATATTAATTAATCACTAAGTTAAATAACAAGATTCAATGATTAAAAGTAGCTAAAATTACCCAAAATGGCTTAGAAAGTCGATCCCACGAGCGTAGCTGCTTAATTACAATATCTGATTCCCTAAAAATGGAAAAAGAAGCTATTTATACTAGGCTGAAAAATCTGGACAAAAATGCCCATGCGGGGTTTGTGCGGATCGCGGTCCGCACTGAGGCTTGGGCCTTGAAAAATAGCTCTCTAAATCTTGGCATCGCGGACCGCAGAGAATGGACTGCGGCCGCGGAGGCTTCTAGTGCGGTCCGTATAAAATGGACTGCGGACCGCATTGGCTTGAAATCCCCAAATTGCAACTTCTCTGATTCTTGGCTCTGTGGACTACACTAAATCGACTGCGGCTGCATTGCCTTCAGTGCGGACCGCACAAAACCTAGTGCGGCCGCACTGCCTCTTAGCCTGGAAATCACCTCTCTGAATCTCCTAGTGCGGACCGCACAAAGTGGTGTGCGGCCGCACTAGGCCTGTTTTTCCTGAGCTTGTCTTGTCTTTGGCGCTTGTGCAAGTTTCACTCCTTTCGAGCTGATCTTTGACATCTTATCACTTTGATGATCAAACCTGCCGTTTGGGACTATTTTGTATGAATTTCTAAGCAAAGCATAAGCAAGAAGGAGTATAAAATGCGTCAAAATCCCTAGTTATCAGTGCTCCTTCTGGAGGTCAGTTTCAGCACGGCAGAGGTTGTCCATTCAGACATGCTCAGCCAGCTTGTTCGAGTCACCATGGTGGATTATCTGGCCATAGTTCTCACAGTTCACATCAGGGTCACTCATCTCTCAGTGCCCTTCCGGCTCAGGGTTCGACTCATGCACCATCAGTTCAAGGTTCATCTATGCCTGGTTTTTCTAGTAGGTATCCC